CAACAACCCACAATAAACAAAATCCAAGATGCAATCCCAAGTGGAGAAAATAAAAAATGAGGATGGATGAAGGAGAGGAACGAATTCAAGGTGTACAAGATAAAATTCTAGAAAATGAGTGAAAAGAAGAAGGAAATCAAGGTACTGGGCTATGAACGTAGACTTAGTGAATTCAGTGACTTATTAAACATAATAACATTTTTATCATAAGAGTCACAGAAGATGAAGAGAGATAAAAAGGGGGATTAGTTGCATTCCATAAAATAATAGCCAAAAAGTTCTCTAATATGCAGAAGGACACAGACATCAAAATTACAGAGAACTCCTATTAAATTCATCAAAAGCTGACTATCTCCAAGGTATATCGTAGTCATACTCACAAAATACAACGCAGACAAGGAACGAATCCTGAAAGATGCAAGGGAACAAAGGGGCTTAACCTCAGGGCTCACAGTAAAACACAACTCTGTAAAGTGATGATCAGACTCAAATCTCACAGTCATCACATCCACATCTTCTGGAAGACTGAAAAAACAGCATCCTTAAATTAAAGTTCCACATCCTCTAGGAAACCCTGACTCCCTCGTACCACGTTTCTCCCTCTGTGTGTCCACTGTGTCCTTTCACAGAGTCCTAGGAAAGTGAACTGGTTGGTCCTATCTTCAGGAGGGAACATGTGAGAAATCCACCCTGGAACCTCACTGAAGGAAATTACCAGGTACTTTAGAAACAAATGCAGCAGGGAAATGCCAGAGCATCAGTGCTTGGGTTCATGAGTCACTAATGTCTCAGTCTGTTCCAGCTGCTGTAACAATGTACACGGACTGCATGGTTTTAAAGAACAAACACTCGTTTCTACAGTTCTGGATTCTGGGAATTCCAGGTCATGGTGCAGACATTTGGTGTCTGGAGGGTTCCCACCTCCTAGTGCGTTCTTTCCCTGTCACCTCACATGGGATCAGGGGTCAGGGAGCTTTCCCAGTCCTGTGGTATAAGGGCACTAATCCTGTCATGAGACCGCGCCCTCCTGACTTAAATGATTCCCTAAGGCTGGTCCTCCTCGATCCATCACAGTGTCCTTAGGATTCAACCTGTGATGTTCGAGGTCACACACATTGAGCTGATATCAGCAACTGAAAGATAATTAGTTATTCCCTGCAGGTGGACAGCTCCCCCATCCAGCACCTCAGCCTGAGGATTCTCATGGATCCACTAGAACCTTCTGGTCTCTGTGTGCACACAGCAAACACAAGGACGTCAGAACCAGTTTGTGACCTTGGGGAGTGGACAGCTTCCACTGCAGACACTGGGTAGAACTCAGTCTACTTCTATCATTATCTTTCTACTTGTGATGTTTCCATGGATTATTCTTCTAATTTTCCAAGGATTCGAATCATTTTCTACTCAGAATGGCCATTTCTCTCTTTTGTTCTTGCCATTTTCACATATGTTTATTCGAATTAGTCATCACTTGGTATCTTTTGATTATTGCCTGTTAGCTCCTTGACCTTCATTCCTCACTCTTCTCTTCCTGCCTCACAGATGGAAACTCTAACAAGAACACACCAGTTCTCCCTCCTTTGATGCAGGTGGGAGACTGACTCCACAGAAGCCCCTCCCATGAACAGAACCCCATCCCCACCACTGACCCACAGCACACACCCTGAGCCGGTGTCCTTCCTTGGCTCCATCCAAGCAGTTATGACTTGAGGAGAGGCCTGCCCTGCTCTCAACAGACAAAATGGTAAAAGGGGTGAAGGTTTTATGTTCTCATGTTGTGTGTGTGTGTGTGTGTGTGTGTTCGATCAACAGACTCTACATCCACACCATGTACTTGTGGGGTCCCTCTGTTTCCCTTGCTGCTACTAACATTGTTGGGAACATGGTTTAAGACAGTGAGCCCCACCAGGGATCTTTCTTCTCTGGCTTTGGATTGTTGATGCCACTGTAGCCCCATATCCAGAGTGCACTTCTTGCAAGCTTGCACACTGAGCTGGATTCTCCTGATACACAGTGAGTGCAGCTGGGACTCTTGAAAGTATTCAGGGGATTTGCATGGAGATATTTGTAATTCATTCATATTTAGGTCCAGGAACAAACAAGTGCAAGTGATACTGACTTCTGCAGTTGCTTGTATAGTAGTTCTTCAACTTTTTATTTATGTTGGAGAATGAATAGGAAGCACAGAACTATGTGTGCAGAGAGGCTCCCTGGGGGAAACAGCTATAATTAGAGAGGAAGCTCCAGACCCTGAGAGGAAACCTGCCATATCCTCCAGCTGCATCTGCTCCTAGGCCTTAAAGACAAAATGGTGAGTAGTGTGCACCCCCTGGTGGTCCAGATCCCCTTCTACAGGGAGGTTTCTGTCTGGGCTCACACTGATGTCCCCTCATTGTGTCTCTCGCACAGTAAAACACGGCCGTGTCCTCGGCTCTCAGGCTGTTCATCTGCAGATAAAGCGTGTTCTTGCCATTGTCTCTGGAGATGGTGAATCGGCCCTTCACAGAGTCTGCATAGCCTGTGCTACTTCCATCATAGCTAATAACTGTGACCCACTGCAGCCCCTTCCCTGGAGCCTGGCGGACCAAGCTCATGCCATTACTACTGAAGGTGAATCCAGAGGCTGCACAGGAGAGTCTCAGGGACCCTCCAGGCTTCACCACGTCTCCCCCAGACTCCACCTGCAGACACAAGACATCCTGGTCAGGAAACTGTCACACACACCCACTGTTTCTCTCACTCATATCCACTCACATACCAGGAGACTCATGTCTCTTGTTCTCTGTAAATTACCTTTTAAAATAGCAACAAAGAAAACCCAGTGAAACACAAACTCCATGGTGAGTTGTCTGTGTTCAGTCCTGATTATGAACGGGAACACCTGGGAATCCCAAGGCTGGGGCTCCTCTCCCAGCTGCAGGGTTAGGGTTGGGCGGTTTTAAATCAGCAGAGGGAGGGCCATATTTGCATGTCCTCTGACTAAATAGCCAACTTGTGATCTATGCTGACATAGAGGGCAGTGACCAGAGCCGGTGTGACTGCCTTTGATTTGTTGCTATTGAGAGAATTTGGGAAAATATGTTTTTGATTATATGATTTTCCAGATCACAATCTTAGCCTCCATGGCCTACCTTTTTTTCACACATGCACAGAAGTCTTTAGGTGTAGATTTCATGTGACACCATTAAGATATGTGAACATATACCCGGAATTTTAGAGGATTTGTGAGGTGTCCAAGAACACGCATTGGGTAAGGGTGACCCCGGTATCTGTTCTGTGCTCCTCCCACAGGACTTACAGCATCCCTGAACTACCTGCAGAACAGTGGGCAGGCTCAGTAAGAATGTGGAACCCCTCCCGAAATGGGGACAGGATGATTGTGCTTATTCTTAAGCTTACCTGAAATACAGAGAATCGGGTTCATGCAGTTGTATTTTCCAGTTTCTAATATTTCACTATCTCTGCGTTCTGTCAGAGTCATCCCTGTGATTATCCCAAATAGCTCTGATGACTGTACTTGACAGTGTGTGTGTGTGTGTGTGTGTGTGTGTGTGTGTGTGTGTGTGGACCTGGACAGAGACCAGCTGACACCATTGCTCACAGGAAATAAAGTATCACAAGTGTGCTTATGTTATAGAGGGTGCAGGTGGGTTCCTAGGGAGTGCTCGTCCCCAGGAACCCAACAACATGCATGTGGGGCTCACAGGAGTCTGTGATGTTGTGACGTTACCAATGACAACTCTGGCAGGACATGAGGACATGTTCCCTGGGGAGTGGGGGGAACCATTAGAAAAAGGATTGCAGGCAAAAGGAAGTGCCTTTGAGTGTTTCCAGTAATGAACACATTACATGGAACCTACCCTCACGACCACAGGAAGAGTCACAGATGCAGATGAGTTTCAAATGGGGACAAGGGTTACCAATGATACAACCAGTGACAGGCACAAACCTCATGGCAATCAGTAGAACACAACTCTGTAAGGTGATGATCAGACTCAAATCCCACAGGGTGATCACATCCACGTCTTCTGGAAAGGATGAATAAACAGGATCCTTAAAATAAAGGCCCACATTCTCAGAAACCCTGTCTCCTTTGTTTAAAAGTCCTCTTTCTGTGTGTCCACTGTGTCCTTTTCACAGAGTCCTAGGAGAGTGAACTGCTTAGTCCTATCTGTGGGAGGGAACATGTGAGAAATACACCCTGGAACCTCACTGAAGGAACTTGTCAGGTTCTTTTCTCTACAAATGCAGCAGGGAAACGCCAGAGCATCAGTGCTTGGGTTCTTGTGTCACTAATGTCTCAGTCTGTTCCAGCTGCTGTAACAATGTACATGGACTGCGTGGTTTTAAACAACAGACACTCATTTCTCACAGTTCTGGAATCTGGGAAGTCCACTTCAAGGTGCAGACAGATTTGGTGTCTGGAGGGCACCCACATCCTAGTGTGTCCTTTCCCTGGCACCTCACAGGGGTCAGGGGCTGGGAGCTTTCCCAGTCCTGCTGTGTAAGGGCAGTAATCCTGTCATGAGGCTGCACCCTCCTGAGGTAAGTGCTTCCCTCGGGTCCCACCGCCTCCTCCCACCACATTCTCCTTAAGTTTCAACCTGTGATGGTAGAAGTCTTACACATTGAGAAGATATCAGCAACTGAACGATCAATTAGTTACTCACTGCAGGTGGAAGGCTCCTCCCAACTGGCATCTCAACCTGAAGGTTCTCATAAATCCAGCAGAATATGCTAGTCTCTGCAAACACACAGTGAACACAAGACCTTCAGAACCAGCTGGTGACCTTGGGGAGTGGACAGCTGCCTTCTTAGACACTGGTTAAGCCTTCAGTCCATTTCTATTATCGTTTTATAATTTGTGCTTTTCCCCTGTGACATTCTTCTCATTTTCCACGGATTCAGACTATTGTCTCCTTAGAATGGCCATTTGTCTTTTTTTGTTCTCCAAGTTTTCATATTCTTTAGTGAATTAGTCATCACAACCTATCCTTTGATTATTGCCTGTTAGCTCCTTAATCTTCATCCCTCCCTCTTCTCACACCCCACACATGGGAAATCTAAGAACCCCTGTGCTCTCCCTCCTTTGATGAGGGTAAGAGATTGACTTAACTCATGAACCTCCCATGAGTGAAAGTGATACATTTTTATATTCTCTCTCGTGTCTGTGTGTGTGTGTGTGTGTGTGTGTGTGTGAGAGAGAGAGAGAGAGAGAGAGAGAGAGAGAGAGAAACCATCAGAGACCACATTCACACATTCACACAACGTGCTTGTGGGTTTCTCTCTGCTTTTACATGCTGTCAGTAATATTGAGGCGGTGACCTTGGTTCCAGACAGTGACCCTCCCAGTGGTCTTTATTCATTTTCTTTGGATTTTTGATGCCCCTGTAGCCCCATGTCCAGCATGCACTTTTTGCTGCTTCTACCAAGCTTGCACATTGATCTGGGTGGTCCTGTGATGCACAGTGAGTGCAGCTGGGACTCCTGAAAATGTTCAGATAATGTGCATGGAGATGTTTGTAACCCATGATATTTAGGTCCAGAATCAAGCAAGTGCAAGTGACACTGTTTTTTGTGCTTGTTAGTACAGTTGATTTCCTTTTTTTTTTTTTTACATCAGAGAGTAAATAGGTATCACAGAATCACGTGTGTAGAGAGACTTCCTGGGGGAAACTCCTCTATGGAGAGGAAACCACAGAACCTGACAAGACACCTGCCCCTTTCCTCCACCTTCATCTGCTCATGGCTTTTAAAGACAGAATTAGTGAATAGTGTGCACCCGCTGTTGACTCAAATTCTGGTCTACAGTGTGGTTTGTGTCTGAGCTCACACTGTCACGTTCACAGTTTTATACAGCCTTGCCCTTGGCTCTCAGGCTGTTCATCTGCAGATACAGCATGTTCCTGCTATTGTCTCTGGAGATGGTGGATCAGCCCCTTACAGAGTCTAAATAGCTTGTGCTACTTCCAACATCATCAATACCTGAGACCCACTGCAGGCCATTGACTGGAGCCTAGTGGGCCCAGCTCATGTAGTAGCTACTGATGGTGAATCAAGAATCTGCAAAGGAGAATATCAGGAACCCCCCCACCAGGCTTCACCAGGTCTCCCCCCTACTCTACCAGCTGCACCTCACACTGGACATCTTCAAACACAAGACATCCTGGTCAGGAAACTGTCACATATACGCTGTTTCTCTGACTCCTATCCACTCACATCCTCCATGTGTCGTGTTCTCTGTAAATCACATGTGATATATGTACCCATTTATCACCATTTTATAGGTGGATAGTTATACATTGAAGCACAGAAGGGCTTTCTGAGCGTCCAAGAGCACCCATCAGGTAAGCATGAACCCATGTTTGGCCCTGTGCTCCCCACCATGGGACATGTGTGCCCCCCTGAAATACCTCCAGATCACTGTTGGTCATAAGTAGTGAGGTTTGCAGGCTTCCTGAATTTCCAGATTACCAAACTGACTGAAGGGTGGAGACCACCAAGTTTCTAAAAAACTTGGAGACACTGAGAATCCTAGAGATAGAGTCACAGAGTTGATGGAGACACTGCACATTTTCAGCAACCCAAGGGGCATTTGCACATGATGTCTCTATACATATCCATGGAAAGCCTCAATAAAAATAAAATGGTGGAATCATTAGCAGACAATGAAATTCCCAACAACTGAGATCAGAATGGATGCTGTTATTTAGGGAAATGTCCTCATCTGTGAAATGGAGACCATTCTACTTCTAATCTCACAGCTATTGCCATGATTCTACTTGTTAAATTTTTCACATAACCTGGTACATCACAAATTTGAATATTAACATCATGATTATTGATTCAAAGAAATGAAGAAACAACTGTGTTTCAACAGTTTTTCCAAACTGTTTACAGTGTTTGTGTCAGGAAGCAGTTTGCAGAGCATGGAGCTGAAAACCCTTGAGTGGGGACCAGCCCTCAACCAACCTTTTGTCCTGGGTCATGAGCTCCATGATTCCTGAGTTCCCTGGTTGATGTGAGCACCTCCTGATTGTCCTAGAGCACCTGTTGATATCACAGACCTCTGCAGAGATACAGGGTCACATTTTCTCCCTCCCCATTTCTCGAACGTGCAAGGAGACACCCTCCCTTCTTGAGCACTACAGACTCTCCTTTTCAGAGGATGTCTCCTTGACCCATTTCCCATATTTCACCCTTCAGTATGCTCCTTGTTTTTAAAAACTCAGCTATAAATTTATGTATTCAGAGGAGAGCAGGAAACCTGTATCAAGTCTTCCTTATCAATGGAATTTTGATCGGGATGGCACTGAAGGTATAGATTGCTCTGGGTAGCATAGACATTTTAACAATGTTTATTCTTCCTATCCATGAGCATGGATTATTGTTCCTTCTTTTTATGTCTTCTTCCATTTCTTTCATGAGTGTTCTGTAGTTCCTACGGTATAGATCCTTTCCTTCTTTGGGTAGGTTTACTCCGAGGTATCCTATGGTTTTTGGTGCTATTGTAATTGGAATCATTTCTGTAATTTCTCTTTCAACAGTTGCATTTTAGTGTAGAAGAAAGCAACTGGTTTCTGTGCATTGATTTTGTATCCTGCCACATTACTGCATTGCTGTATGAGTTCTAGTAATTTGGGGGTGGAGTCTTTTGAGTTTTCCACATAAAGTATCATGTCATCTGCAAAGAGAGAGAGTTTGACTTCTCCTTTGCCATTTTGAATACCTTTTATTTCTTTTTGTCTGACTGCTGTTGCTAGGGCTTGTATTACTATGTTGAACAATACTGGTGAGAGTGGACTCCTTGTCATGCTCCTGATTTTAAGGGAAAGGCTCTCATCTTTTCCCCATTGAGAAGGATATTTGCTGTGGGTTTTTCATAGAAGGATTTAATGAACTTGAGGAATATTCCCTCTATCCTTATACTCTGAAGAGTTTTAATCAGGAAAGGATGTTGTATTTTTTCAAATGCTTTTTCTGCCTCAATTGAGCGGACCATATGGTTCATCTCTGTCCTCTTGCTAATGTGTTCTATCACACTGATGAATTTGCAAATGTTGAACCATCTTTGCATCCTGGGGATAAATCCCACTTGGTCGTACAGGATGATCATTTTAATGTATTGTTGGATCTTACTAGCTAGGATCTTGTTGAGAATTTTGGAATCCATATTCATCAGGGATGTTGGTCTGAAATTCTCCTTTTTGATCAGGTCTTTGCCTGGTTTGGGGATTAAGGTAATTCTGGCCTCATAGAATGAGTCTGGAAGCTTTCCTTCTGTCTCTATTTTTGGAACAGATTCAGGAAAATAAGTATTATGTCTTCTTTGAATGTTTGGTAGAATTCCCCAGGGAATCCATCAGGCCCTGGACTTTTTTTTTTTTGGTAAGTTTTTGATAACTGCTTCAATCTCGTTACTGGTTATTGGCTTATTCACGTTGTCAATTTCTTCCTGTTTCAGTCTTGGGAGTTTATAGGTTTCCAGGAAGGCATCCATTTAATCCAGGTTGCTCAGCTTATTGGCATAGATTTGTTGATAATAATTTCAAAGAATTGTTTCTATCTCCTTGGAATTAGTTGTGATTTCTCTGCTTTCATTCATAATTTTATTAATTTGTGTCCATTTTCTTTTCTTTTGGATAAGTCTGGCCAGTGGTTTATTGATATTATTAATTCTTTCAAAGAACCAGCTTCTAGTTGTTGATCTGTTCTACTGTGCTTCTGGTTTCTAAGTCATCGATCTCTGCTCTAATTTTAATTATTTCTCTTCAAATGCATGGCTTAGGCATTGTTTGTTGTTTTTCTCTAGTTCTTTAAGGTGTAGAGTAAGTTGGTGAATTCGGGATTTTTCTTTTTTTTCTTTTTTCTTTTTTCTTTTTTTTGAGTGAGGCTTGGATGGCTATGTATTTCCTCCTTAGGACCGACTTTGCTGTATCCCATAGGTTTTGGAC